TACATATGTTATTAAGATAATCATTTTTTTCGTATTATTTTGGTGTTCGATAAAATATGATTGTTAATTTTTTATTAGTAATACATGTTCAAAAAAATCATTTTATAGTTGCAAAGAAAGGTGTACACAAGTGAAAATAAATAAATTATAACCCGACAATAACATTTTGAAAATGGTATTAAATCCACACACTAACGAAAAAATAATGCTATTGTAGGTTTTCATGAGCTCCTGTAAGGCTGTAAAAGAACTATAATAGCGAAGAAAGAAATGCTATTGTAAGCATAGAAAGACATCCTAATGAAACACTATTGTTGATCTAATAACAGCATTTTTAAAACGCTATCTTAGAGCTCAAATTTATTATAGCTCGAGTTGAGATAACATTTTTAAAAATTCTATGAAATCCTATAATAGTATTTTTCAAATGTCATAGATAAGGAAACACATAAATTACGAATATCGTTAGAAAAGACAAAAAAATTGTAGAAATATGGTATTAATTTGTGAATCCTAATGCCCAATATACTCGAATTAACTAAAATGCAATTTAACTAAATTGAAGTAATCGAATGTAAAAAAAAGTTGTCGTTATCATATAATCGAATATCAACAATTTGAATGTGGCTATAGAATCTAAAAAAAGGATTAAAAATATGAACAATGTAAACAGGTTCTTCAATCTTTGTACTAGTGGCATCTCTGCCGAAGTTGTGTCCACGGGCATCCTACCCAAACACCTACACTACTCGTCTCGATTTTACTCCTACGACTTTGCTTACGAATTTCAAAAAAATCCACACCTCGAATTCACACAAGGTTATGGCTTTGGAGTACTCCAGTGGCCCTTCGGCGCTTGTTTCAGGAACGAGTTTGACCAGTTTGATCATCGATTATGCGTCATCATTAGAAACTAACAACCTATTTCCATTTTCGCCCCGTATCGATTCTCGTTTACTTGCAACTCTCAACTTGTGATAGTTTACACATTTAAGCAAACATACACACATCTTGCCCCATATCAAATTGTAATGTCACCCAAGATTGAAAATCAAAATTCATAATTCTACCATAAGAAACAAAAAAAAAAGGAACAACAAGATAATTGTTGAAATTTCTCAATTCTAGCGACGGGCGGCTATAAAAGAAAACAAAAGAACGAAAAAATCAATCATAATAACACCAAAAAAAAAAAAGAGAAGAAGAAGAAGAAGAAGTACTCCGTCAATCAAAATACAAATCATTGCAGCATCCACCGCATATGACAATTCTTGGAAATCCATTGTCACAACAGGAAGGTGATGGGGGAGAAAGTGGTTGCTTATTTTTCGACCCTATTCAAGCATCGGCTAATCAGAGGGATGTTTCATTATTCGAGCATGTGGCGGCAAAAGTGACGTCCGATATGATATACAAAATCTGCACAATACCGAGTGAAGAGAAGGTGTTGAAAGCGGTTTGGGATTTATCACCGGGGAGTGCAACAGGGCAAGATGGCTTCACGGGACATTTTTACGTTAAGTGTTGGAGTATTATTAAAACCGATCTCATGAAGTTAGTGGAGGGGTATTTTCTAGGGGACTAATTGTCCAAAGCCATGTCTACCTACTCTTTTAGTTTTACTGCCGAAAATTCCATATCCCGAGTCGTTTAACAACTTTTGACCTATAAGCCTGGGGAATTGACAAGGTCATCTCCCTAATTCTAGCCTCTAGGTTGAACGATATACTTCCCACGATTATTTCCGAAGAACAGACGGGTTTTCTTAAAAATCAAAGCATTCATGAGTCGATTGCAATTGCCCAAGAGCTAGTTTCCAACATTGACCGTAAAATCGAAGGGGGTAATATTATTTTCAAGTTCGAAATGTCAAAGCGTACGATAGACTGGAGTGGCGTTTTCTTTTCAAAGCTATGCAAGCTTTGTATTTCTCTCATCAAGTGTGTGACTTGATGTATCGCACATTTTCCAACATTTGGTACTCTTTCTTATCAATGGTGAAGCTCATGGTCATTTCAAATCTTCAAGAGGGGTTCGTCAAGGAGACCCTCTATCCAGTGGCGGATCTAGCTATGATTTAGGGTTTGCAGTTGCACACCCTTGATTGTAAATAAATAATACTATTATACATAATCTGATATAAATGGCAGTTGGTTGAGGTGGTAAAGACATGACCTTTTTTATTAATAGGTCCCGGTTCTAAACCCCACCCTCACAGTAATGATTTTTTTTCTTTTTGAAATCTTAACATTTTTCACCTTTTTTTATCTTTAAATATTTCCATAATTCACCTAAAATTTGTAAATTATAAATTTTTGGCCCACTATTTTTATAAATCTTAACATTTTCACCTTTTTTGTCTTTAAATATTTCCACAATTCACCTAAAATTTGTAAATTATAAATTTTTGGTCCATTTTTATAAAGTGATATTTAAATTTTTTATTCTACAATTTCGAACCCCCTTGGCAAAAATTCTGGATCCGCCACTGCCTCTATCCCCTTTCCTGTTCATCATCGCTTAAGAAATCCTCACGCTTAACATTAAATGGTTGGAGGAGCAGGAAAAAGTTAATAAATTCAAAGTCCATCGGAGATCCCTTCATATTTCCCACCTCTTCTATGCGGATGAAATGCTTCTCTTCACCAATGGCAGCAAAAGGTCGGTGAAAACCCTAAGAGTGATGCTTAAAAAATATGAAGACTCATCGGGGCAGCTCATAAGTCTAGAGAAGAGCGGATTTTTTACGTCAAAGAAAGCCGATGCAAGGAAAATTATGCAACTCAAAGAATGGAGCGGTTGTGCGGATAACTTGTTGCCTCTCAAATATCTAGGGGTTCCGATATACAAAGGAAGATGCTTAGTGAAACATTTTGAGTATCTAATCCAACAAGTGCAGTCCCGGTTGGGAGGATGACATTCGAAATTGCTGAATTTCGGAGGTCGAATTACTTTGGTGAAGGCGGTGTTATTCAGCCTCCCCACGCACTCACTTTTGTCGACATTGGTTCCTAAAGCAAACGTTGGATCGCATGGAACGATTGTTTCGTAAATTGTTGGGGGGGAAACACGATAGAAAAGGAATCAATTTGATAAGTTGGGAGCGCCTTTGCTTCCCAAAAGACAAAGGGTGTCTCGGCTTTCGCTCCCTTCGCGACATGCAAAAGATATTGGTCGGAAACTTGGCATGGAAAGTGTTGGAAGGAAGCTCTCTTTGAGCGAGATTCTCGAGGGCTAAGTATGGGAGTAATTTCAATCGTGAGCTTCCTTTATGCCTCTCCGTTATGGCGGGCAATTCACTCCCATTTCGACACCCTGGGGCAGCATAGTCGATGGATAGTGGGAAAGGGAAACATAAATTTCTTGAAAGATAGATGGGCATACAACGATATATTAAATGATCACCAATTTATCCCCTTCAAAATCGCTAAAATGCAGGCATCGGAGTATAAAAAAAAATTATGCCCGACCCAACAATAGGTCTTTGCCGAAATCATAGTGGACGAAGAAAATGAGGATCCGTTAGTATTCACGAAATCTATCTCCGGCAAATTCTCTATTGCCGCATATTGGGTAATTCTCCGCCTTGAAAGGCCGACGAATAAATTTGCCCAAAAAATATGGCACCTTAAAATCTTGATGAAAATCAGATCATTCTTTTGGAAGCTTACTTGTGGAGCTATCCCCGTCGACCTAAACCTCAAGAAACGGGGCACTTCTTTCCCGTCTAAATGTTGATTTTGCTCAAGCCCTCGCAAAGAGAGTTTGATTCATCTGTTTGTTCAGTCAGACGTGGCAAAAGGAGTCTGGCAATATTATTCACAGACGTAGCAAAAACCGACGGTATATGGATCTATGCGACACTGGTCAAAATCTGGACGGAGAGTTTCAACATCAATTCTCAACATGGTTTAATTGCTCTTGGTATTTTGATGATCGGATGGGAGATATGGAAAGTGAGGTGCACAGCAGTTTTTGATGAGGCTCCAATGAATACTATCTCTATCATTCGAAACATCGCTCCCTCATTGAACATGCTGAATGAAGCTCTAGTAGTGAAAAAGTTGACGAACAATTTTGGCCAAATCATCTTACAGCTTATGAATTTGAGACTCAGACCCCATGAGAAGCATAAAGGAAGATGGATTAAATCATTTTAAGGTCAACGTGGACGGGTCAAGGTATGGCAATTTTAGTTCGGGTGGAGGACTTATACGGTCTCATGAAGGATGCTTTATTTTCGGTTTCTCCCAATCCTACGACTATGGGAATCTTCTTTTGGCATAGGCTCAGATGGGAATCACGTTATGTCACGAGTTGGAGCTGGATCAAGTGACAATATTATCAGATTCTAAGAGGGTAGTCGATATGATCAGCGGAAAAATAGGAGTGGCTTGGGAGCTTCAATACGTGATCGGTGGGATACGAAGACGGCTTTTGTCTAACTGGCGGGTGGATCACATTTATCGCGAAGCAAATCACGTGGCAGACAATCTGGCCAAGCTGCTTCCGGGCACAATTCTAAATTACATTTCTTTAATTGTTTAGATCTTCCTAGTAGGATTAGACATTTAATTACGTTGGATACTTTATGAATTTGTACTTTTCGAAATCATTGTAAATAGGGGGTACTATTTTCCTTGTTCAAGGCCGACAAGGTTTTTAACGAGGCCCCCTTGTGCCTTATCGAAATAAAAGTACAAATTTTGGCCAAAAAAAAAAAGAAAAAAAGAAAAGAAAAAAAGAAAAAGATTTGCACAGTTAACATTTACAAGATCCAATTAAAAGTACCAATTTAAAATACTTGAGTAGTGGTCAAGACAATGAAAATAGCACTGGAGAAATTCAAACTCTGCTTATAGTACGCCTTCATCACGGTAATAGCACCAATGAACCCTCCTCCACGTCGAGACAGTGAAGCAGTAGGAGAAGACCAGAGATTCTGCTCAATCTCGATCGGCAGAGATTTTTGTTTTGTTAATTGGTTGTGATTATTGTAAGAATTTATTTATTTGAGTTTATGAAGTTAATTAAGTAATTTATATAAAGTACAATGTGTATGGTGGTGCATGATGTGTTTTTAGCAAGATTAAAGTGCTTAGCGGTCTCCTCCGATTTCCCAGCAATTGTCTATGTTGTTTCAGCATTCAAAGTTTCCCAGCAACATATGTCGTATGAAATTTCTCTTTTCCTGTTTAATTTTCGTGTTGAGAATCGCTTGATCTCGGCATATATCCAGTTCAAGTGATCGTGGTTCTACCTATATGTTCCATGCTCTCGTTGTCCAATCTTCAACCTACCCTCTTCCATTGAATCCAGTGGTTGAACAAGTTAAATTAGTTAAGGAAGGTTATTTTAGTCATTATGATTAAAGATATTTTAAGAATTAATTTAATAAACTCACAAGCAAGAAGGAACATTTTGTTATTGTAGATTTGTAACCCATAACAAGTGATTCAATGAAATTTAGCACTGCTGCATTTCTGAATTTTAATCTAGCCCAACAACAAAATAAACAATGGCAATACTATTATTAAAATCAAGAAACCAATTTAAAAAGTTACAAGCAAATAAATAGCAATTACACACCACCACCCCCATCTTTCCTGTAATCATATATTTATCATCTCCACCAAGAAATCAACAAAGGCATAAAAATAAAATTAATAATATAAAAGCCTTTCGGGCTAAGCAACACTTACAGCTTGAGGCGGCGGCACCTCTCTCTGACTTTTGCACCTGCAAAATTGCAACACGTAACTGAATCCCGCAAACTACAATCTACTACTGTTGCTAACATTTCTAATCTATCGCTTCCTTTGCTATTAAGCAATCAAACCAGCAAAATTTATTCAACTAAACATACACCGCAGCACTATTGCAAAGTTTTACTCGGTTTTTTTCTTTTTTCCAGGAAATCAAGGAAATTGCTTATCCTTTAACAAAAAGAAACAGGCAAAATCATTTTATCAAACATAAGAAAAGTCGAGAAAACCCGACGTTACCGCACTTAACATATCCTTGGCAACCAAATAAAAGGTCATTGATTTCATGAAAACTCCTTAAAACAATTTCCTAGTCTCTAAATATGATAAACAAACTTAATTTCAATTACTCACCGATTGCATTCTGCTCGAGAGGCATAATTGTGATTATTACAATTTGAGCACATCCAATCCCCATCACGCCATTGCTTTGCTCTGCAGAATACAATTAAATTAAAGGTTTTGAATATATCTAGATTCGGATGTCTTCTACATCACATACAAAATCGTATAGCTAGGTTTACAGACAATTATAAGCTTATGTTGCAGTAAAACGAATATATATTAGAAACAAAAAGACAAAAAAACCAAAGGAAAAAAAAAAAGAAGGATACTTAAACAATGACTTGCCATTAAGTGCACATAAAAATGTAAACAATTGTTAAAACTAAGAAGGAATATGCTTTTACCCTTTCCCAAGGACTGCAGGTGGTAATGGTACGTTTGGTATTTGAAAGTTGACTTGCAAATTCGGGAGGTATGCGTTGTTTCCACTGGGAATATTCCCGGGGTATATACTATTTAATTGACTACCACCAACACTTTGGAATGACCCAAATCCTGGAGTTTGTTCCTGTATACCATGTGCATGTGACTTTCTCATAACCAAAATAATCATAATAAATACAAACTAGACAAAAATAATTTATCAATAAATTTAATCTAAAGCAGATGCCGAAATTTAGCCCCTTACTTGTCCAGCATTTAGTCTCTTATTATCCCAGTTATGAATAAATTCTTCAGATGCAACGCGTTTTGTTCCTAGAGCTTCATCACAAGAAAGAACACAATATCACTCGCTGATTTCGATACTAATTCTAAACACGAATCACATAAAAAGATATTCTTATGTTTATTTATCTTGAATTGTAAAAAAGAAAAAGAAAAAAAAAAAAAACGAATATGAATAGAAATATCAATGGTGATAAAGGGTGTTGCCTCTTCCACAGATAGCAAACTCGAAAGGAAAATAACTACAAGTTTGTAGAAATTGAAAATTCGTCTCAGATAGCTCCCTTCCAAGTAATTATCAAAACAAGTAACGAAAGAATAATAGTCTGAACATTGAAAAAATAAGCCAATTTAAGCATTCAGAGCATAAGTGTATAAACTTTCAACTACTGTCAGTTTAGAGTTTAAACAGATACAAAAAATGCACAAACCTGTAACTGCAGCACTGATGAGAGATGAAGGCATTGATATCTGTGTAGGGGCATTACACTTTTTGCACTGCAATTGAAACAAGCAAAGACATTTATGATTTAATGGGAATATATAAAAATATAGCACTCTAAGTTTTCGAAAAGCAAAACCAAAGTGAAGGTAGAGAATTTGGAATCTCAGGTACTCAAAGTTAAACTGGAGCACCCAACTTCGAACACCACAAAAAAAGCCGAACAGCAGAGATATACGTTGACCGCGAATACAAGTTCTTGGTCAGACTACTCATAATATTTGTTCTGACAACAAGTTCAACTGCAAAAGTTTCCATTTGTACACCATTTTAAATGACCAAGTACATATCAAGGAAACCCCCAACAAACCGAATCAGATCAATACTTGAACATATGATTATTAAATAATGATCAAGCGCCCCAAGACAAACTTTTGATCATATTTTTGTTCTTATATTTGATAATACTAGCAGCCCATTGCAACCAATAAACATATTCTAAGAAGAAGAAAACAAAAATTCATCTATAAATCCTACATATTATAGTTGATCTGACCTGCAAACGTGAAGAATAATTGTGGAAGCCGCAAGAGCAAATCCAATCACCAGAACGCCATTCATTACCATTTGGGACAGGTGGAAGTTGATTTATTTGGTTAGCATATGAAATGGCGGTAGGTGGCAAGGGCCAATTAGAAGATGGCTGGAATCCATATTGACCAGAAGACCCTCCAATTGGCCAATTAGAGCTCAATGGCAATATTTGATCAATTCCTCCACCACCTCCGTGAGCCCTGGCAAAATAAGTTGGATGAGAAGCTCCAGCTGGCATTGATGCTAGTAGCTGCTGTTTAGGTTGCCCACACTTTTTGCACTTTTCTCTTGATGCATAATTGTTGTTAGTGCAACCTATTCATCCATTGCACATACACGCACACACAACCCCACAATGCAGCCACCAAGAATACGCACGCCACGCCAACCCGCCATCCAATACCAGTATTAATATACACATACACAAAACATAATACAAACAGCTTAACCTAATTCAAAACCCCAGTTTTTTTATTTAATTATTGCAAAAGACTAACTAAATTAGGCAACGCGCGAGTAAATAAACCACTCATATTATCAGCAACCACTTAGTTAAAATTGCATAGGTATTATTGGGTTATTTTTATCAAAATAAGAAAAACTTGTATTTTTCATTTAATTTTGGTTTGGTTTTAAAACTCAATGTTGTTATTGCAGCAATAGTCTGTTTACAACCCTAATTACAAGAATTGGGAGCAAAACAAAAAGGTAAATATTTATTATAAATTGAAGTGAAAGGAATTCGCAGGAGCAAATGGGAAATGAAAAATACCGGAGCAGATCCAATCGCCAATCCGGGGAAGCCACTTGGAATCGGCGGGGGTTTTGCAGTCGACGAGAAGACGAGGCTGCTTACAACGGTTGCAAAAGGATCTGAATGCGTAGTTTCTATTTTCGCATCTGCTGCACTCCCAGTCACCTTCTTTCCCTCCTCCGCCCCCCATTTCTTCCTTCCTTTCCGACCAACAATTTCTCCCACGATTTTTCCTTCACCCCTTTTTATATTTTCCTATCCTTTGCACTTTGCTCCCTCAACATTTTGCTATTTTGCATTTTGCACCCCTCGTGTTAATAACTTGAAAGATAATTTGCATTCACTCCCTCGAATTTCAATATTGGACAATCACACCACAATTTTTTTAATTTTTTACATATACATATTTCTTTCTCTTCTTTTCCAATAACCTATTAATTATTAGTGTTTATTTGAGATAGCCCTATCACTAACAAACACTATGTGGGATAAGCCTTTATTTTATTTTTTTAAGTAAACCAATTTGTTGAATGTTTCATTTGATATAAATTTAAATAATTAGTTTATACCCATTTTTACCATTTATCCTCAAAAAAAAAAAACTCTAATTAATGTTTGTTTTATCTTATTTATTTTGATTATTATTTATGGATAAAATTTTACTTTCCCCTTTACTTTGGCTCGATATCACTACAGATGCTTAAAATTAATTAATTGGTTAATTAAATTAGTCAATTAAGTTGTATGTTAATTAAATTATATCTTATCTTCATGGAGATAAAAATTAATTAATTATTGGTCAATCGAATTTGTTACTTCTCTTTCGAGTCTTAAGAGATAAATATCAAATTAAAAAGGGTCAATCAAGTCGCGCTACATCATCAGAATGTTTATCTCGGACTCTTATTCTAACACTATAAATAGGGACCTTCCCTACACAATTCAAACACAACTCAAGAAGAAGAAAAGTCGTAGGAAAAAATTCTATCTACAACATCTCAAGCGTTCTTCATCAAATCGAGGGCGTTCTTCAACAAATCAAGATCGAAGGAAGATTGAAGGGCCAAATCCATCAAGAACTCCAAGATCTTCAAGTCAAAGTTCAGCGTTCGATCCGAGATTAAAGTCGCAAGACCCTCGAAAAACGTTATTCAAGTTCAAATTCAAATCCGGAGAAGATCAAGTCAATTAACAGTTAATATGGTTGGTGGGTGGGATTGTGGATTCGTGTTGGGAAGCAATGGATCTGGTATTAACCATGATGGATCGAAACCTGGCTCTGATAACTGATAGGTACCAATTAAGGAAATAGAGATAAACACTCAAACTATAATAAAAAATAAAACAAAGGTAGATTTAATGCAAGAATCTTAAACATAAAATCCACCAAGTAGGTTGTCCGTATGGAGAGGACAATGCTCCAAAATTTCTCACAAAATACTAATTTCAAATCCCCCTAAAAACTTACAAGGAAAAACTATTTATATAAAACTAACATTAACTTCCTAATAACTAAATAGAAACTCCTAATAACTAAATAGAAACTTCTCCTCTGGAGCAGTTATGGATATGGCTTATCCCTATCCATGTTATTTTTATTTTCAATTATGAAGTTTCAGTTCTGGCTATAATTCTTTGTTTTTGTTTTGCGGGCAGCATTTTATGTGGGTGACAAATTGTAGTTTTGCTTTTACAATCCGTTGCTCTTGCCAGTTACATGGCTAATCTGTTATAGAAGTATGGGGCCATGGGCTAGCCGGAATAATGTTTATAATATTTTCCCATGTTTACCCTTTTCTATGTACCTCTAGTATGTATGATTTTTGGGAGTTTGTTCACACACAGTAAATACAACTATTATTAGATTTTTATTATCATGGTTCACTAATAATTTATTTTTTCCTTTTATATATTCCCGTGCAATGCACGGGACAAATTACTAGTTATATATTAAAATAAGTAATGGTTGATTAGTTATAAATTGCAGTTAAAATGAGTTTGAAAACCTACTTGAAAGCAATTAAAAAATGTAGGGGTGAATACATGAATTTATATTATTGGTGAAATAATATAAATATCTAATAATTATTGAAAACAAATCGGTGATTGTTGGATATTATTATTAATCACCCAAATCATAATATTACCATCATTTATAAATTAAAGCAATAGTTTTTATGAAAATAATAATAAATTACACAGATTTTGTGGATCATTTATTGAAATGGTTAAATGAATTATAAAAAAGGGCAAATGACAAAAAAACCCATCACATGGGACTTAAATGCATTTTGATCCACAAAAAAAAAAAAGTCTCTCAATTAAACCCATCTCATGTCTTTAGTCTAAACTACCCTTCATAATATAATTCTTATCAATTCCACCCACTATGCTCTAACTTCCTTAATATTATTGCACATTAACCCCGGATTTAAACAAATATATCACTTTAGCCCCCCAAATTTTGTTTTTTTCAGAAAATAATTTTTTGTCTGAAATGTTTTTTTCCGGCCAGATTCCGGCTTTGACCGCCGATCTCCGCCATTGACTTTTTTTTTTTTTTGAAAACTTTTTTTTTCCTGAAATTTTTTTCCGGCCAGTCAAACACCGTTGACCGCCGGTCTCAGGCGTTGACACTTTTTTTGTTTTTTTTTGTCTTTCTTAGAAAAAAAATATTTTTATTAATATTACTGTTTTGGCTACTAAATTACTGTCTCAGACAGTAATATTACTGTTTGGGACAGTAATATTATGAATATTATTTTCCCGAACAGTAATATTATTAATATTATTGTCTAAGACAGTTAAATTACCGTTGGAGACAGTAATTTAGCAGCCAAGACAGTAATATTAATTAAAATAACTTTTCTTAAGAAAAAAAAAAGTCAATTAATAGTTAAATTACTATCTCCGACATTAAATAACTGCTGGAGACAGTAATTTAGCAACGAATACATTAGTAATTATTAAAAATATTTTTTTTAAGAATAAAGAAGTCAATTAACAGTTAAATTACTGCTCGAGACAGTAATTTAGCAACGAATACAATGTCATTAATTAAAAAAATTTTGAAGAAAAGAAAAAGTCAATTAACAGTTAAATTACTGTCTCCGACAGTTAAATAACTGCCGGAGGTAGTAATTTAGCAGCCAAGACAGTAATATTAATTAAAATATTCTTTTTAAGAAAAAACAAAATTATATATATATAAAAAAAGTCAACGCCGGAGACTCGGCGGTCAACGACAGTTTACCAATCGGAAAAAATTGTAAGAAAAAAAAAAGTTTTCAAAAAAAAAAAAAAATCAACGCCGGTCAACGGCGGCGTGCGGCGGTCTTCGGTGGTGGCGGGTCAAAATTGGGGTCAAAATTGAAATTATGGTTAAAATTGGTTAATTGATGAAATTGGAGTTGAATTGAGTTTCAATGAACTGGGTGTAATTTTGGTATACATAAAATAATTTTCCTTATTTGCAAATAAGTTTGAATGGACTGGATTTATTTAAAAGACAAAAAAATTGGATGTCCCTCTTTTAATTAAGTGTCCTTATCATGGACCTATTTGCATTTACCCTACAGATTAAAATTGATATTGAAAAAAAAAGTGGAATTAGTGAATTTTGGTGCATCGCTAACTGCTAACTGTATATTCATAAATATAGTCATTAATCTAAAAAAAAATTAAAAAAAATATATTAAAGGGTCTATTAGAGACCTCATCGTTATTATTTTAATAAAACTAGACCCACTTTATTATTTGTACTTGAGAAACCTCCTAACTTCTCATAATTATATTTTAACCTTATTTTAATTCTCCATCCCTTTTACCCACTACCTATATATTATTTTACTTTTTACCCTTTTCTTTTGTTCTTTTTAATAAATTAATTTTTTAATAAATTAATTTCTAATAAATTATTTTTTTCTTAATAAATTTGACTTTTTTTTCTTGGCAGATTTGCCATATCGTAAACAACTACAAATTACAATAATTAACTACAAAATTTTAATATGATTATAATTTATAACAAAACCAACTACAAAAATACCTCAATCCAACTACAAATTTTAGCAACCAATTACAAACTGTAATTTATAGTAATCCACTACAATTTATCGAAAACAACTACAAAAAATTTCAAACCTACTACAAAATCATCGAAATCAACTACAATATTATCAAAACCTACTATAAAAAATATCGAAATCAACTAAAAATCGGCCGAAACCAACCAGAAAAAAACAACTGTAATTTACCACGACGTTAGAACTAGACCGACAATGTCGGTAAAATCATCAAAACCCCACGGCATTTCAAGTACAACGATGAGCCGCTGCAAAAGCTCCTCCACCGCCATTTCCCAATTCGACAACCTCCTCCTATTGCTAATGTCTAATAAGGGTATGATAGGTATATGAATAGCATTAAAATTGAAGATAATTATAAAAGTCAAACAATAGATGTTTCTAAATGGCAAAAAAAGACTGAATTCATACTATAGATAAATGTGTTTAGAAGGGTTCTCCATAATTAACCATAAGACGAGCCCTAAAGATATCACATGTGTAAGACAGTGGACTAAATCTCTGATTTTCTGTAGGATAGTGGACTAAAGACAAAATACCTTAAACTAATTCGTCGATAAATAGCCCCGACTACACCAAAATCAAAAGAGCACAAGCCTTAACCGAGGGGGAATATAGCGTGGCACTCCCCCGTTTCTGTTTCCGTTTCCGTTTCCGTTTCCGTTTCGTTGTTGATCAAAAGGAAAACCCTTTCCTTCTGCTTTCAATTCCAATCCAAAACCCTAAATACATAACTAACTACCCCAAAATTCAGAATCCCTTCTGTACATTCCCGTTCTCGCGCTTTCCATTTTGTTTGTTTAGAAAATCGGTCTTCTCTAATAAACCCTAGTTCATTCTTTGTTGAATATAGGTGGTATCTTCTGGTAAATTTTTAGTCTATTCATCAATCATGAGTCCTGTTCAGAATTTCGAGCAACACTCTCGCCACCTAATCGAACCAGAACTCCGTACGCCAATTCTCACTCTCCTACTCTTATTTATTTCTTTTTTTTTTTATTTTTTTTTTTCACTTCTCCTTGTGTTTGATTTGTGTTTTTGTGTTTTTTTATTTGTGCAGCAATTCAGGCAAGGCTGCAAATGGCGATGGAGGTACGGGACAGTCTGGAGATTTGCCACACAGGGGAGTATTTGAATTTCTTGAAGTGCTATTTCCGTGCATTTTCTGCAATTCTACACCATATCACCAAGCCCCAGTTCGCCGATAACCCAGAGCACAAGCTTAGAAATATTGTAGTTGAGATTCTTAATCGCTTACCCCACAGTGAGGTTCTTAGGCCCTTTGTTCAGGAGCTTCTCAAAGTATCAATGCATGTACTCACTACAGATAATGAGGAAAATGGTTTAATTTGCATTAGGATTATTTTTGACTTGCTTAGGAACTTTAGGCCTAGTTTAGAGACTGAGGTTCAGCCTTTTCTGGATTTTGTCTGCAAGATTTACCAGAATTTTAGGGCTACTGTTAGTTACTTTTTCGAAAATGGGGCCATGTTGGCACCACCGCCACCACCACCAGCCCCACTGTCTACCTCAGCCATTTCTGGATCATCATTGAGTGGTGATGACGTCAAGCCTCTCGAAGTTTCAGATCAAGTTGGTTCTTTGGGTAGTTTTGTTGGGGCAACAGGGCAGCTTAATCCGAGTACGAGGTCGTTTAAGGTTGTTACTGAGAGTCCTCTGGTTGTTATGTTTCTATTTCAGTTGTATGGGCGACTAGTCCAGACTAATATCCCACATCTATTGCCATTGATGGTGGCGGCAATTTCAGTCCCGGGTCCAGAGAAGGTCCCACCTCATTTGAAGACCCATTTTATTGAGCTCAAGGGTGCACAAGTTAAGGTAAAATTTTGTTGGTTTCTAAGCTTCCACAAAGCTTGGGTTTGTTATTTGGATTTCTCAGTGATTCATAATTTTTGGTTCTTGTTTTGAGACTACAAGTATATGCTCCATACACGTGTCCTCATTGGTGGATATATAGAAGCGTATTTCACCTGCAGTCTCAAATAACTCTCAGTTATTATTTTTTCGTATATATAGTGGTAGTAGACCAACCAATCAAACAGAATGAATTCTCAATTTAGCAGCTTCTGTCCCCCCACCAATCTCTTCGGAACAACATAAGAGGAAATGCATTTCCATCTTTGCCACCTGCTCGGATCTATATGGACTTATTAGCTATTTCTTCATTTTATATGTGCAGACAGTGTCTTTCTTAACGTATCTGCTGAAGAGCTTCGCCGACTATATCAAGCAACATGAAGAAAGCATATGCAAAAGCATTGTGAATCTGCTTGTCACATGCTCTGACTCAGTTACAATTCGAAAAGTTGGTTCCCTCCTCTTGCATAACAAATATATATTTTTTCATTTTCTATGCACCTGGAAATTAATCTATAGAAGTTGTTTACTCCAGGAACTATTGGTAGCATTGAAACATGTGCTTGGAACAGACTTCAAGAGGGGTTTATTTCCATTAATCGACACACTTTTGGATGAGAGGTATGCATTTCAGCAAATAGGTTATCCTTGATGATTTACACTTCCTCTGCCTCCCTCCAGGACACGGCTGTGAGATTATTTGATGTACATGGGGTGTGATCTTTTGATTCTTATATTTTTGTAGGAAAGTTGGAAAAGTGCCTCGTTTTGCAACTTATATAAATTCGATGTCTACTACCTGATAAAAATCTCATATAAATTATATAAGCCATTTTTGCAACTTATATAACGTCCATGCTAGACTCCCGAAGTGTAGTAGCTGATATTTTCTCCTTAATTTTTGCAGCCTTGTAATACTTATTTGTAGTCAACATTTGACGGCTGATAGGCGTTGATTCAACACTTAGTTTATCATGATTTCATTCTCTCTCATAAGTGATTATCAGGCATTCCGTATACTTGGTAGACACTTAGTTAATTAACGGCGGAAGAAGTTGCTGGGATGTGGAAGTTTGTTAATTTAGAGCTTCCCTAGATTGTATATGTATGTTTATGGAAGCCTGGAGTTTCTTCTTTCCATTAACCCACAACTTCGTAATAATCTAATAATGCCTGTAAAGTTTATTTTTTGTAATGTGGTACTGACTACTGCATTTTAGTTCTCAGGAAGTTTGAGGTTTTATTATTCCTGATTGGAAACTTTATAATTACGTATTGCAATTCTTTTTAATTTGGGGGAAGGGTGGAAAATCTGGTGAAAATTGTAAGTGGTTTGTGCATGACTGTTTGACCTGAAGATCAACCTGGTCACCCCATCCTAACTTGGAGACCATGAAAAAATGCATAGTTTAATAGTGTCATACGACAGTTTCATCACAAAAGTACACCATATGAGTTAGGAATTGCTATCAGTTGGACTATTTTTTCGTCAAGAATCACGCAGAAGGAAATTATTCGACGAACTAGTTTCTATATGCTTAAATGTGAATTGAGCCCAGGTTGCCATTGCAGCAGTTGATTGAAGTTAATGTCTTATATTGTGGCAAATCATCAGTGACTTTCTACACTAATCCATGATCCTCTTTCTCTACCACCACCACAAACTAAAAGAAGAGCAGACAAAATTGCTCGATATTATTTTGGTACAACTAAGATATAAACTGGGAAATTTGGCGTCAAATTTCTTGTTTGTCATCAACAGCCCATGATGAACGACTTTTGCCATTAAGATACTAATTTCGCTTGTTAAATGCGACTTCAGTTTTCAGTCACGAATAAGGTGAATCGGATAGATTAGATTTGTGTTCATTGACCATTTTTTGTGGTCTGTTGAGTTGATTAGTTGAAATATCTGACCTTTTGTTCCCAGTTGTGTGTATGAGCTACTGTCAAGTTGCTAGCTTCTTAGTGTTTTTTTTATGTGCCTAAAATTCTAAGAATTCTAGTTAATAAACTGCATCTCGACTTTCGACCTTCATGAAGTTGATATCTGGATTGCATCAGGGTCCTTGTTGGCACTGGCCGAGCATGTTTTGAGACATTGCGGCCTCTCGCTTATAGTCTTTTGGCAGAGATTGTTCACCATGTCAGGGGAGATCTTTCTTTGTCCCAGGTAAAACAGAACTTCTCTGGTTGTAACTTGTGATATCCCTGAAATTTGCGTAGATTTTAGGATCAGTCTATTGCATTCTCATCTATTGGATTTCAATTAAAGTAGTTTTTTTGATAAATTTTTTGGTCTGGATAGTGGATTTATTTGTCATGATTTGTGCCTGGAATTTTATGTCAATGGAGGTCACTGTTGATTCTTCTGTCTACACGCAGTTGTCTCGGATTATTTACCTGTTCTCAAGCAACATGCACGATGCGACCTTGTCCTTGAGTATACATACTACTTGTGCTCGCTTGATGCTGAATCTGGTATATTCTCAGAATAATATTTTAGAACCTTCAGCAAATTAAATGCATATTTATTGCCAACTTGCATACTTTACTTTTATACTGACTGCGTTTACTGTTGATTACTGCTTTTAAGGTGGAGCCGATATTTGAGAAAGGTGTAGATCAGGCATCGATGGATGAAGCACGTATTTTATTGGTAAGTCTGGTTGGTGGTCTTTCTCAACAACTTCTATAATTGTGTTGTATATAGGTTTCTCCTCGTTAACTAATGCACGCTTACATCTCAGGGCCGAATATTGGATGCTTTTGTGGGGAAATTTAATACTTTCAAGCGCACTATTCCTCAGGTACTTCAGCTATATACCACTCAATTTTCATTGGCCTATTTTTTCATCAGTGAGCAATTGCTCTTTTTCTCCAACTTTTTTGCTCCCTTTTGGAGTTACTTTTACGTTCATGAATCAACTTGGTGGCCTGTTTTTCCCCTAATCTAAACTTTGTTCCTAGTTCTGTTATTGAAGGAAATGCTTAAAAAATCAGAAAACCTGTTTTGATGTTTTTCTGGTTACTGTTTATAAAATGTCCTCATTACAGTTTGGCCATGGATCTCTAGAATCAGGATTTTTTTTCTTTGATCTCAAATCAGGAAAAAAAGAACTGATTACCTTAAATATGTTGAAAAAAATAGTAGACTAGTAGAGAAGAAAAATAAATGTATGAAATGAAAATTCCAGCAAGTTTTAATACTAGTAAAATCATGCTGCTTTGTGAGTCTGATCCAGACATGATTATATTTACTCATATACATTTGCCTTGTCAAATCTTCCTTGTGACATTCCTGGATCCTTAAGACCTCGATCTTCACTACATTTGCACTCGTAAAAGAAGCTAAATGTAGCTGCAAGTGAGAGCAATCATTATCATAAAATTTTGATTGCCCCATAGAGAACTCAAGAAGAGAAAAAGCCTTAGAAAAATGAAGGTTTGAAATTAACAATAAAAATTAAGTCGAGAAAGATTTAATCTTACAAACTCTATATCAACCTTTGAATGAGGAATGGGGAAATGGAAACAAGATCATATTTGCTGTTTATCATTAATACTATAAATGAAATGTAGAAGGATGCCAGCAATGCCAGATGCTTGGAACTATTGGAATTACGATCTAGTCGTGTGTATATATGACATGGGTATTCCTGTAGAGTTTCACACAGTTTCCGGCTTTTATTTTTTGATAACCTAAAATGAGAGAAAATTGATGTGTGTTTTTGGTGGAAACACCGAGCAGACAGGATGTTATCAGCTGTTTCCTTTGTCCATTGTGATGGTATTCATCATTGAACTACTCTTATTAACTGATGAAAAATGTTTTGGGACCCATTTGTTTGTTTGGTGTGGTAGCTACTGGAAGAGGGAGAAGAAGGAACAGTTCGTACTACATTGAGGTCAAAACTTGAAGTACCAGTGCAGGTGATTCAATATACACTGATTGTTCATGCAGCTCCATTACTATTTTTGTTTAGCTTCTTCCTGATATCTCATTGTTTGATAGCTTCGTAATTATATTTTGCAATTCATATCTATGGTCCTATACTACGGTCTGGAAGCAGTCCTATCAAAAAGGAAATGAGCTTCTAACAACTAGATATTAATGTTCAGTTCTGTTCTATGCACATTCATTTTTTTTCCCTTCTGTTTGCTTTGGAAAGTACAGTTGCTTTTTTCATCTGGGTATTGCTGAAACAATTTTTTCCATTGTTTTCTTTATTTAAGAATAAAGAAAAAAGTATAGCTTTTCTTCTATTAGGATTACTAAGAATACTTCAATTGGACATATATCACCAGACACCCTAAGTTTAGTTTGCTTTGTGACTTAAACCCCCATTTTTCTAATCATGGACCACATTTTAGCAGGCAGTCTTTAATCTGCCAATGTCTGTTGAGCATGCCAAGGAAGTCAGCGATTGTAAGCATCTTATAAAGACCTTAGTAATGGGTAAAACTTCTCTTCCTTCACTTTGTTGATAAAATACTCTTAACACTTTTTCTTTGAGCAAATTGATTTATACCCTCTTTAAAACATTTTTTATTAACTCATTCCTTGTAGGAATGAAGACAATAATCTGGAGCATCACTCACGCACATATACCACGATCACAGGTTTGCATGCGACTGATGATTCTACTTCATGAAATGTGTTAGCTTTACTTTATACGAATACTTCAATTACACAGGTATCACCTTCCACACATGGGAATCCTCAGCAAGTGCTTGCATCTACATCATCAGGATCTTCAATATCACAACCTTTTAAAGGGATGAAAGAAGACGAGGTATGATTTTTTCATAAATATTCTTATTCCTATATTGGTCTCGTGTCTCATCTTTTCAAAATTATAGGTCTGTAAAGCTTCGGGTGTTTTGAAGAGTGGCGTACATTGCTTAGCATTGTTTAAGGAGAAGGATGAAGAGAGGGAAATGGTTCACCTATTTTCCAATATTTTGTCAATAATGGAGCCGCGGGACTTAATGGACATGTTTTCACTGTGCATGCCAGAGCTTTTTGAGAGCATGATCTCTAACAGCCAGCTAGTCCACATCTTTTCTACTCTTCTGCAAGCCCCTAAAGTTTTTCGCCCTTTTGCAGATGTTTTAGTTAATTTTCTTGTGAGCAGCAAACTTGATGTTCTTAAGCATCCTGATTCTCCTGCTGCAAAACTTGTTTTGCATCTCTTCCGCTTTTTATTCACTGCAGTTGCAAAGGCGCCATCAGACTGTGAGCGTATTCTTCAACCACATGTGCCTGTAATCATGGAAACTTGCATGAAAAATGCAACTGAGGTTGAGAGACCAATTGCTTATTTACAACTTCTTCGTACAATGTTTCGTGCACTCTCTGGTGGTAAATTTGAAGTTCTGCTTCGAGACTTGATTCATATGCTGCAACCATGCCTAAATATGCTTTTGGCTGTTCTTGAGGGTCCTACTGGTGAAGATATGCGAGAACTTCTGTTAGAGCTTTGTTTGACACTGCCTGCACGATTAAGCTCACTACTACCTCACCTTCCTCGTCTAATGAAGCCTCTCGTTATGTGTCTGAAAGGAAGTGATGAGCTCATCAATCTTGGTTTAAGAACACTTGAATTTTGGATTGATAGCTTGAACCCTGATTTTCTAGAGCCAAGTATGGCAAATGTGATGTCTGAGGTGATTTTGGCATTGTGGTCTCATTTAAGACCTGCACCGTATCCTTGGGGTGGAAAATCATTACAACTTCTTGGCAAGTTAGGTGGTCGTAATAGACGTTTTCTCAAAGAGCCGCTAGCTCTTGAATGCAAGGAAAACCCGGAGCACGGTCTTCGATTGATTCTCACATTTGAGCCTTCTACCCCATTTTTGGTGCCACTGGATCGCTGTATTAATCTTGCTGTGGCTGCTGTCATGCAAAAGAGTGGCACTGTGGATAGCTTCTACCGAAAGCAAGCACTTAAATTTCTTCGTGTATGCTTGTCTTCTCAGCTAAATTTGCCTGGACTTGTTAATGATGATGGATCAACATCTAGACAACTGTTAACTTTTCTAGGTTCTTCAGTTGATCCATCCAGGAGAAGATCTGATGCGTCTGATATAAAGGTATGATGGTATAAGTATGCTTACTTTTGTTTGTTAAGTTGCCTGTTATTCTGTAAATGAATTGTTAATTATGCCTGAACTATCAAACGGGTTCTATATGAAGCTTAATATTGTAACTTGTGTCCTAAATCTCTCGACCTTGTTGATGTGCTATTCTTAGAATCTGGTTTTTTCTTCTTTTGGTGGTAACTTTAATTGCTTTTATTTGTTTGACTTCATGCCACTGTATTGTTTTTTTACCAGTATCAGGAATATCTCGATATGTGAAGGTGTTATAGTCTAAAAATGAAATTGGGATGTTATTTATTGCAGTTCAATCATCATAAAGTTACCGAAGAATGTTCCACTTTCTAACTAGAATCTATTTATGCAGGCTGACTTAGGTGTCAAAACAAAGACTCAACTTATGGCTGAGAAGTTTGTGTTCAAGATTCTCTTGATGACAATAATAGCCGCAAGTGCGGAACCTGACTTACATGAACCCAAGGATGAATATGTAAGCCACATATGTCGCCATTTTGCTATTATATTTCATTTTGAGAGTCCAGCTGCTCAGAGTTCAATTTCTGCCTCATCAATTGGCGGTCCCATGCTGTCATCCAATTCTAATATGAGTTCTAAGTTAAGGCATAATACTTCTCTAAAAGAGTTGGATCCTTTGATTTTTTTGGATGCTTTGGTAGAAGTACTGGCAGATGAAAATAGACTGCATGCTAAAGCTGCATTGAATGCATTGAATATGTTTGCTGAGACGCTTTTGTTCCTTGCTAACTCTAAACATTCTGACATGCTGATGTCGAGAGGAGGTCCTAGTACTCCTATGATTGTCTCCAGTCCCTCAATGAGCCCCGTTTATTCACCTCCTCCAAGCGTGCGGGTTCCTTGTTTTGAGCAACTTCTGCCCCGACTTTTACATTGTTGCTATGGGACTACGTGGCAAGCTCAAATGGGGGGTGTTATGGGGCTTGGTGCTCTGATTGGAAAGGTCACCGTTGACATTTTATGTCTTTTTCAAGTAAATGTTGTTCGGGGACTTGTCTCTGTTCTTAAACGACTTCCCACTTATGCTACTAAAGAACAGGAAGAAACAAGTCAGGTACTGACACAAGTTCTGCGTGTGGTGAATAACGTTGATGAAGCGAATAGCGAAGCACGTCGGCAAAGTTTTCATGGTGTTGTCGAGTATTTGGCTTCAGAATTATTTAATGCCAACTCTTCTGTAAATGTGAGAAAGATTGTGCAATCTTGTTTGGCACTCTTGGCAAGTAGAACTGGGAGTGAGGTTTCTGAGTTACTCGAACCTTTGCACCAGCCTTTGCTACAGCCTCTTATTATGCGCCCACTGCGGTCTAAGACTGTTGATCAACAGGTAATGTTGGATTGTTATGTACATGAGTATAGTATATCTGGTTACTGAAATCGTGCAATTTGCAGGTGGGAACGGTAACTGCATTGAATTTCTGCCTAGCTTTGAGGCCTCCGCTTCTTAAATTAACACCAGAGCTCATAATTTTTTTGCAAGAAGCTTTGCAAATAGCAGAGGCCGACGAAACTGTGTGGGTCGCGAAATTTATGAATCCGAAAGTTGCCACATCTTTGAATAAACTCAGAACTGCTTGCATTGAACTCTTGTGTACTGCCATGGCATGGGCAGACTTTAAAACTCAAAATCACTCTGACCTGCGAGCAAAAATAATTTCCATGTTCTTCAAGTCCTTGACAAGCAGGAGTCCCGAAATTGTAGCTGTGGCTAAGGAAGGGCTACGCCAGGTTCGTTGAGCTTGCTTTTGATGTTGTATTGCAACTCTTCAATCTTATGAATTATTATAAGTTTGAACTCTTCTGTTATGTCTTGCTTTCTTCCATATTTAGGTTATTCTACAACAAAGGATGCCAAAAGAACTCCTGCAAAGCAGCTTGAGGCCTATATTAGTTAATTTAGCACATACCAAAAATCTCAGCATGCCACTTTTGCAAGGTCTTGCTCGGCTGCTCGAACTTCTATCGAATTGGTTCAATGTTACCTTAGGTGGTAAATTATTGGAGCATCTTAAGAAATGGTTGGAACCTGACAAACTTGCGTTGTGTCAGAAATCCTGGAAGGCTGGTGAGGAACCTAAAATAGCTGCTGGTGAGTGGTATTTGGGCTTCACGACCATTACTAGTTACATATCTTAGCACACGTCCCCACAATCTGAGTATCTACCACTCTTTCCTATTGATTCTGTTTGATTTTTTTCAGCTATCATTGAGCTGTTCCATTTGCTTCCTTCTGCTGCTGGAAAGTTTCTTGATGACCTTGTGACTTTAACTATTGATTTGGAAGCTGCCCTTCCACCTGGTCAATTTTATAGTGAGATCAACAGTCCATACCGCTTGCCACTTACTAAATTCCTCAATCGTTATCCTACTGCTGCAGTTGATTATTTTCTTTCTCGATTATGCCAACCCAAGTATTTCAGGAGGTAAAATGATGATAGTTTGTGGAAGTTCGTCTTAGTGTTAAAATTTTGCTAGGAGGTTTTTTCTGTCCTAATTGTGATTAGTCGTAATATGCAGGTTTATGTATATAATACAATCAGATGCTGGCCAACCATTAAGGGAAGAAGTTGCAAAGTCTCCAGAAAAGATAATAGCTAGTGCATTTCCTGAATTTTTGCCTAAAACCGAGGCGACTCAGGGATCCTCCATTCCTTCCAGTTCTTCAATGGGTGATGATACTCTTGTTACACCTAAATCTGAAGATTCTGTTCAATTGGTAACCACCTCTAGTGCAACATCAGAAGCTTATTTTCAGGGTCTTGCTCTGGTTAAAACTCTTGTTAAATTGATGCCTGGCTGGTTGCAAAGCAACCGTGTCGTCTTTGATACTCTGGTTTTGTTGTGGAAGTCCCCAGCTAGAATATCCCGATTGCAAAATGAGCAGGAATTGAACTTAATGCAAGTAAGTGCACTATTTCCTACTTCCATTATGGTTTTTTTTATGTATCTTCTTGTAAAGCATGTTTATCTGCTTTACAGATAAACTTATGACGGTTCAGTTTCCTATATATTCTGCTGCGTTGTAACCTCTCTGGCTTTCATTGCATGCATTCTTCTCCCTTATTCACTATTTCTTTTCCTTTATGTTCAGTTTAGTTAGTGGAACCATAATACTTGCACATAATGTCTTCGTGTTGCATAGCAGCCTCTTGATCTCTTACTGCTTATAAGGATAAGGGTGTAGGAAACAAATAAAGTAAGAACTCTTACTTGCACAGTGATTTGACTACAAACTACGGTATTAAATGTGGTCTAATCCTGACTACGGAGGGTTCCAGTTAGCAGTAGAAAGGAAACTAAAATGTAGCCTAGCCTGTAAAGAAATACTAACCCAGAGGTAAAAAGCTTCTCCGAAGAACATGTCTGGTAGCTCAAATAGTTTTCCTGGATTTCCTAATTTAATTTTTTTTCTTGAAGCCATTTGTGACCTTCAAGTATATTTTGTTCAAGGGACACTATGTTCGTTTAGGTAGTCCTAATGAGGAAAACAATGCTTAATTTTTATTTTGAGGGTTGAGCTGTAAAGGTAACAGCAAGTGCTCATTGGTCAGCCTGATGGCGGAAAAGATAAAAGTTATGGAATTCGTCTTATGATTTAATGGAGATCCACACAACCTTCCACTGTTTTAATCCCATGGAAGTTTGGTAATACTACGACATATAGTTTGGTTATAGAACTTGTCTTATCATGTGATAAGTAACATTATGTTGAGAAATTCTGTATGTATGATTCACACAGTGGAGTGTCAAAATAAGTGTATATATCATATGTATTTATAACCCCGACTGGCTTAAATAAACGTGTTATTATTTTGCGACAAGTAACATTGTGTTGAGAAGTATTAAGAATTCTAGAAATAGATTATCGATATACATACACTTTACTATATTTTCTATTTTGGTTAATTGAAGATTTTGACATAAAAATACTTCTGTGTTAATGAATATTTATGTCTCTCTGTATTTTTATTTAAAATAAATGTTGTGCTATTAGTCATTATGTGTTTATTCTTTTGTGAAATGTGTGTACATGCATTATAGTTGGTAGAAAACTGAGGATAATAGCCATAGTTAGCAATGTATTGTTTCAGTCCAACTGTGTACCTCAGTGAACAAAACAAAGGAATGCATCAGAATGTTCTATTTACGTTTTAGGTCATGCATGCAGCAAAACAGTGGACTTTGAATGATCAATTGGTTTACTAACCATGATGTTATCACTGTTATGAATTTTACATATCAAACTAGGTAATTTGTGAAAATTCACTATGTACAGCTTCAAATTGCAACTTGTATCTACAATAGTTTCATGGTTGATGCTTCACCATTCACCATTGCAAATTTGGGACATGTACAAAAAATCAATTGACTGCAGGTATAACGGTAATTAAATTACCTAAACACTGTGCAGTCAGTAGATTCGCAATAATCTGATATCACTAGATTACTAAAATCGTTTACTGCAAAATTTATGTAGATCAGTAAATCTGACAGAGAGTTATGTATATGAATTATGATTTTGATTTAAATCTCTGAAAGTGACTGTAATTGGACACAATCCGAATTCTGAACTTTGGCACTTAATGTGTGCCCTGTTTTGATTTCCATTGGACAATGTTGTCCTCATTATTAGATAATGCACACACTTACGAGAGATTTTCTTGAAAGGTCCTTCTGCAATATAACCCCTAGACTCTTCAAAAGCTTCTCATATGAGTGCAATATCAAATTCCTTCGTCTGACCTGATAGATTAGACAATGACAACTCATTGCTTGTACCAAAAGTAGCTATTCTCAGGAATACTCAAGGACTCAAGATAGGTGGACCATGTGGAATGATTCTGATTTTCTGTTAATTCTCTTCTATTGTTCTGTAATCTTTCATTGTCAATTTTACAGTTCCTTAAGTGGTTAAGTGATACAGTAAAAATCCAGTATAGTGAAAATGATTTTGCAATCTATCGCAAGTGGATCAGCACCTGATTGACCTGTATTAGTTTGTGTGTTAGCTTATTAACTGTTGAAATATTAATAAACATATACAGGTTAAAGAAAGCAAGTGGCTAGTCAAATGTTTCTTGAACTACCTGCGTCATGACAAGATGGAGGTTAATGTGTTGTTCGATATTCTTGCCATCTTCCTGTATCGGACTCGCATAGACTTTACTTTCTTAAAGGAGTTCTATATTATTGAGGTATGTAATTTGTGGTTCCATAATCAGCTATCTCTGTTCTATTATTATTGGTTAATGGGTGCTTGTCATATAACGATTGCTATTTTGTTATATAGGTGGCTGAGGGCTACCCTCCCAACTTGAAGAAAACTTTGCTACTTCATTTTCTGAACCTTTTTCAGCTAAAACAATTGAGCCATGATCATATGGTAATTGTAATGCAAATGCTCATTCTTCCTATGTTAGCTCATGCTTTTCAGAATGGACAAACTTGGGAGGTCATTGATGCGACTACAATCAAGATAATTGTTGACAAACTGCTCGATCCTCCAGAAGAGGTACTTGATTTATTGGTTTGATGGATTTTCACCCTTAACCTTGGGAGGGGGTTGATCTTATTAGCTGTTAGACTTCATTTTCTATACGGTGACGGTTGAAGATTAGAGTTCTTATTTTTTGGATTACAAGTATGGATGTGTATTCAGTTAAAATTTGTGTCTGGGATATGTTTAAACATTGGACTTCCAATGAAAATCATAAATCACTAAATACATTTTCCACTGATAAGGATTGGGTGGGTATATTTACTTTATGATGCATCGTGATCAGGGAGATAAGACTAGTGTTAAAAAAATAAATGGAAATGCAATTAGAAAAAAGGCTGACACTAAACAGCCCTTTTAACCATCCCAAGCAGTATCTTTCCTATCGTGGCTATGATATCCTCGTCTATTATCTGTTCCTTGCCGTCATCAACATCCATCTCCTGCCACCTCCAAATCCACTACCGGTCGTTTCTTCTTGGATTTCATGACAGTCTCATAAGAGCCCACCTTTATCTCTACCCATAACGTGTGATGCATTGTAGATATCTCTGTACATAGATGCACATCTGAACAATAGTTACATAGATATCTGTATACATAGATCTATACAGATATATGACTTGTCTATTTTCTTTGATGTGTGACTATGATTTCAATCTTATTTTCCTAGATATCTCTGGATTATGATGAGCCTCTGAGGATTGAGCTTCTGCAGCTTGCCACTCTACTTCTTAAGTATCTTCAAAATGACCTTGTCCATCATCGGAAGGAGCTTATAAAATTTGGTTGGAATCATCTCAAGCGTGAAGACAGTGCTAGTAAGCAGTGGGCATTTGTAAATGTTTGTCACTTTTTGGAGGCATACCAAGCTCCAGAAAAAATTATACTACAGGTGCTTAGACAGGTTTATCTACGTTCTTTTAAATACTATCTCCTGGTGTTTCTTATTATACTTCATGTCATTAGGTAGTCAGTTTTTTAGAAAATGAGAACATGGAACTTCTGAATAAGAATGTGTCTAAGAGGGTGTGCTGGCATGTTCACGTCTGTTTATATAAGAAATTGAAACTTAAAAAGCAGAGAGATTGATGTATTTGAAACATATATTTTCTATGATAGTAGTCCCACTGTAATGTTGTTGTAACATAAATGAAAACATTGGCTTTCAATAGGTGGATGTTTTTTGAGATGATATAAAAGGATAAGATCGTCTGAAAATGAGAATGTCATCTGTTTATTTATGTAAGCTCATGCCTTCTATAACTTACAGAAAAGGTGGCATAATCCCAGAATATTGGTGTATTCAGTAAAAACTAACTTTGAAAAGGTAGAACTATTTTGAAATAGCTCAAATATAAAGAATTTGTTAGTATAAGGTGGATAGCTTTTGGCACATGCTACTTGTCGGACAGGTTTCAGTGGGAAAATTTCATGAAGACAGTCTATAATTCATTCTTATGAAAGTTTGCATTTTTATTTTGTATTATAGGTGCTCTATTTTTGTATAAAAGGTTTTACTTGTAGTACCTTACCATAATGGTAGCAAAATGAGGCACTGGGTACTAACTTGATGTGCTAAGGTTATTTACAGTTTCTGTTTGATTCATTCATGAGTCTTGGCATTTCGTTTGAAACTTCTTTTGATGTCGGTTATTTGTACTTTTGTCCACTGCGGGTAAACTATCCGCGGAGATGCATTGACTTAATCGGGGTGGTGGAAAGAGTGGCTTTGCTAAATTCTTCTATAATGTTCTCTCAACTGTACTAGATAATGTCAAGCTTAAAATGAAACTTGAGAACTTTATCATGTAAGATAAATTATAAAGTGGAGGACATGGTTTTGAAGAATGCGTCCTTTGTGATAGGAGAACCCTGTCCGGTAAATAACACTTATTCTGACCGAAAATATTTTATAAAAATTCTATTATTTTGTAAGTTCTCGTCATGAGTGACAAGTACAATACATCTTTGGAGCATACAAAAATCATTCGAGCTTAAACCTTTCGTGAGTATATTGGTGAAGTTGGCTTCAGTTGCCATTCTCTCTGATACATAATAGTTCATTTACGTTATTTGTAGTGTTTGTATGCAATATCATAGTGTGGTGCTTGCAGTCACTCCCCAACTGATTGGAATGAGCTATAAGTTATCTTCTCCTTCTTTTCTTATGTTTACATTGGATAGCTCACTCCTTTACGTTGGGAAGTGACTGCAGGCACCACACTAGCATACCCCGCGTAGAAACACTAGAAATTGCTATGAATATCTTAGTTTGTAAGATATTTAGAGTTTGTATGCAATATCTTATTGTGGTTCCTTGAGTCACTCTCCAATTGTTAGGATCGGAATTGTTAAGAAATCTGGTTAACATATATTGGCTAACATATCTTAATGTTTCAACTCTTCTGTAATTGTATTTTTTGTTATTTGAAACAATTATCATTTGTATTAACAACCGGAAACTATAGGTATTTGTTGCACTTTTGAGAACTTGCCAGCCAGAGAATAAAATTTTGGTCAAACAAGCTCTCGACATACTCATGCCAGCACTTCCGAGAAGATTGCCACTTGGGGATTCACGTATGCCTATATGGATACGTTACACTAAGAAAATCTTAGTTGAGGAAGGTCACTCAATTCCTAATCTTATTCACATATTCCAGCTCATTGTCCGCCACTCAGATCTTTTCTACAGCTGTAGGGCACAATTTGTCCCTCAGATGGTGAATTCTCTCAGTCGCCTTGGGCTACCATATAATACTACTGCAGAAAATAGGCGCCTTGCTATTGAACTTGCTGGATTGGTTGTCAATTGGGAAAAACAAAGACAAAATGACCTGAAGAAGGGGGCTAATAATGATGGCACCAGTCAGAGTACTGATGTACTGAATCTTACTTCTGCTGCAGGGGATCCTAATAAGCTTTCTGTTGATGTAACTACATTTTCTGATGATTCAACCAAGAGAATAAAGGTTGAACCTGGTCTGCAATCTTTGTGTGTCATGTCTCCTGGAAGTGCCTCTTCAATTCCCAACATTGAAACTCCTGGATCTGCTGCACAACCCGATGAAGAGTTCAAGCCTAATGCAGCAATGGAGGAGATGATCATCAATTTTCTTATAAGAGTATGTCTCCAATCACATGTTACGTATAATGTATGTGTTATTTGATGTGTACAAGCACACACAATGTAGTATCAACATCTGAGTTCACTTAAAACAATCTTAAATTATGTGCTTGTTATGATTTTCTCTTTCTCCAAAAGCCTACCTTTTGTTTTCATTTGGCTTTTAGTTGTTCTATAATGCCTGATAGTTGATGGTTTCTGAACTTATTTTGCCACTTTGCTCTCTTTCCGAATTTGAGGCCGTAGTTTAACACCAGCTATAATATGAGTTCATGAGACATACACATGGCGTTCCATATAGATCTTCTTTGAACCTCTACTCGAGCTAATCTTGGTCTTGAATAATTGGATGATTCCAACTAGGTTATGCTTCTTTTTAATTGATTAAAGTACTTGTCCCGAAGCATGTGCTATTATTTACAGTTATCTGCTTTATTGTTATTAAAAACATATTAAGAATAAACCAGATAGAATTCAGAAAAAAGTGGAGAACAACAAAACTTAATGTTTGTCATATTTGTTTTACTTATTATTCTGTTGGGCTACATAGTCTTTATGTTCCATTCATTATCAGTCATGAGTCATGACTGCTGAGATAATTTTCACTATATTGTAATTTGTCTTTTATTTTCTTATGTAGGTTGCCCTAGTAATAGAACCTAAAGATAAGGAGGCAAGTCTTATGTACAAGCAAGCTTTAGATCTTCTATCTCAAGCGTTGGAAGTGTGGCCTAATGCTAATGTCAAATTCAATTATTTGGAGAAGCTGCTCAGCAGTACTCCATCATCTCAATCAAAAGACCCATCTACTGCCTTATCCCAGGGCCTGGATGTGATGAACAAGGTTCTGGAAAAGCAACCACATCTGTTTGTGAGAAATAATATCAACCAGATTTCCCAAGTATGTATTATTGTAGAATCATAAACTTGTTGCTTAGCTTTTTCCAAGAGGCCATTGTTCTAACATTACTGCTTTTGTCTGTAAATCTTTGTCAGATTCTGGAACCATGTTTCAAATTCAAGATGCTTGATGCTGGAAATTCTTTGTGCTCCCTGTTGATGATGGTTTCTGCTGCATTTCCTCCGGAAGCAGTGAACACACCACAAGAAGTAAAGATGGTGTATCAAAAAATGGAGGAGCTTGTGCAAAAGCACCTTGCAGTGGTTGCTGCCCCTCAGACTGCAGGAGAAGATAACTCTGCTAGCATGATTAGCTTTGTGCTTTATGTCATCAAATCCTTGGCGGAGGTTCACAAAAACCTTATCGACCCTTTCAATGTGGTCCGCGTCCTTCAGCGTCTTGCACGGGATATGGGATTATCTAATGCTTCTTATACAAGACAAGTATGTTTTCTTTCTAATTATAATATTTTCTATGTCCTATCTACATATTTAGCATAGGGTATCTTAAGCGTAAATTGCAAGTGCTTCAGAACGTTACTGAAATTCCAATTCGTACTTATACAATTTTGGTAGTTTTTACTGCATCTTCTTTATGCTTCCTGGATCAAAAGGCTTCTTATTTACTCATTCAGGGTCAGAGATCGGATGCAGATTCTGCAGTCACTTCCTCTCGTCAAGGTGCTGATGTTGGAGTTGTCATTGCCAACTTAAAATCTGTTTTGAAACTTATCAGTGAAAGAGTCATGAGTGTACCTGATTGCAAAAGATCTGTGACTCAAATCCTGAACTCCTTGCTATCTGAGAAGGGAACCGATCCTTCTGTCCTTCTCTGCATTCTTGATCTAATAAAGGGTTGGGTTGAAGATGATTTTGGTAAAGCTGGAACACCTGTTGCATCTAGTACATCATCTATTACTTCTAAGGAGGTTGTTTCTTTGCTCCAGAAGCTTTCACAAGTCGATAAGCAGAACTTTTCCGTTAGCACGGCAGAAGAGTGGGATCGGAAGTATCTTGAATTTCTTTACGGACTTTGTGCTGACTCTAATAAGTAAATATCTGTCATTCTTCAAACTACCTTGATATATAATGCAATTTATTAACCTAGTTATTTTGCAGATATCCTCTTCCGCTACGTCAAGAAGTGTTTCAGAAAGTAGAGAGACAGTATTTACTGGGTTTACGGGCTAAAGATCCTGAAGTGCGGATGAAATTTTTTGTTCTTTATCATGAATCACTGGGGAAAACCTTGTTTACAAGGCTGCAGTATATTATTCAAATTCAGGATTGGGAGGCCTTGAGTGATGTTTTCTGGCTTAAGCAAGGCCTTGATCTCCTTTTGGCTATACTAGTTGAGGACAAACCTATTACACTGGCTCCAAACTCAGCAAAGATCCCCCCCGTTTTGGTATCAGGTGCAACTTCTGACTGTACTGGTGTGCAGCCAATGGCTACTGATATTCCGGAAGACTCTGAGGAAGTACCTCTCACACTTGATAGCCTTGTATTGAAGCACACTCATTTTCTTAATGATATGAGCAAACTAAAGGTAATATTCGATATGCTATTTATATTTAGAACTTAGCTGGAATGTTACTCTATTTTTGGTTATTAAAGAACTGATGTTGACATGAAGTATTAACCAGGCAATGATGCAATGCACTTATAAAGGTCATGTTGCATCTCCAGGATGCATTTGGCATTATGCTTTCATAAAATATACATTTGGCTTATCATGTTTTTGTGTTTGAGACTGCGCCTTCTTTTATTTCTCTCGCCTGAGTGTGGCCTTTTGACATTGACGCAGTGTACATTTTTCCTTCTCTGTATATGTGTTCGTTTGTAGAATATCTGGAATATTTTCTTTTGTCATTTTTCTTTCAAAGGGTGATCGATAATAGCTTCAAGCTGATTTATGATGTAGGTTGCTGATCTTATTATCCCATTGAGAGAGCTGGCACATACGGATGCTAATGTTGCATACCATCTGTGGGTTTTGGTGTTTCCCATTGTTTGGGTAACCTTGCATAAGGAAGAACAGATGGCACTAGCCAAACCAATGATAGCTCTCTTGTCAAAAGATTATCATAAAAAGCAGCAAACACATCGACCAAATGTTGTGCAAGCCCTTTTAGAAGGGCTTCAACTGAGTCACCCACAGCCACGGATGCCCAGTGAACTAATCAAATTCATTGGAAAGACTTACAATGCGTGGCACATTGCATTAGGACTCCTTGAAAGTCATGTAATGTTGTTTCTGCATGACACAAAGTGTTCTGAGTCTCTGGCTGAGCTTTACCGCTTACTCAACGAGGAAGATATGAGGTGTGGTTTGTGGATGAAACGGTCAATTACTGCAGAAACTAGGTCAGGTCTTTCACTTGTTCAGCATGGCTATTGGCAAAGGGCCCAAAGCCTTTTCTATCAGGCCATGATTAAGGCAACTCAAGGCACTTACAACAATACTGTACCGAAAGCTGAGATGTGCCTTTGGGAAGAGCAGTGGCTCCATTGTGCTAGTCAGCTTAGTCAGTGGGAAGCTCTTTCTGATTTTGGAAAGCTTGTTGAGAATTACGAGATACTACTCGATAGTCTCTGGAAACAGCCAGATTGGGCATATTTAAAAGATCAAGTTATTCCAAAGGCCCAACTAGAAGAAACTCCAAAACTTCGTATTATACAGGCATATTTTGCACTTCATGAAAAGAATACCAATGGGGTGCCAGAGGCTGAAAATATAGTGGGAAAAGGTGTTGATCTAGCTTTGGAACAGTGGTGGCAACTGCCTGAAATGTCCATTCATGCCAGAATACCTCTTCTGCAGCAGTTTCAGCAACTAGTTGAAGTTCAAGAATCAGCTAGGATTATAGTGGATATTTCAAATGGAAACAAACTGTCTGGAAATTCTACTGTTGGTGGTCATGGTGGCTTATATGCAGATCTCAAGGATATTCTTGAGACATGGAGATTGAGAACACCAAATGAATGGGACAATACGTCTGTTTGGTATGATTTGCTTCAGTGGAGGAATGAAATGTATAATGCGGTTATAGATGCATTTAAGGATTTTGGTAATACAAATTCACAACTGCATCATCTTGGTTTCCGCGACAAGGCATGGAATGTCAATAAGCTTGCCCACATTGCTCGTAAGCATGGCTTATCTGATGTTTGTGTTTCTATACTTGAGAAGATGTATGGTCACTCCACAATGGAAGTTCAGGTGCTCTATACTCGTTATGCCTTTGTATTTATTTTTGCCACCTGTGCCACCAATCCTACCCCATCATCACATCTCGAGAGTTTATTTTTTTGTTATTTCTTTTGGCGGAGTGGGTGTGTCATGAAGGCGTGTATTTGAAGTGTTTGATTGGTCTTATTTTAATTTTTTTTTTCTCAATTTTGATTTGCAGGAGGCTTTTGTTAAAATAAGAGAACAAGCAAAAGCATACTTGGAAATGAAGGGGGAGCTGACGAGTGGTCTTAATTTGATTAATAGTACTAATCTGGAATATTTTCCTGTTAAACACAAGGCTGAAATTTTTCGTCTTAAAGGTGATTTTCTGTTGAAACTTAGTGACTGTGAAGGTGCCAACCTTGCATATTCAAATGCTATTACCCTCTTCAAGAACTTGCCTAAGGGATGGATTAGTTGGGGAAATTATTGTGACATGGTATGGATATTCAAATTTTCATGTTTGGTTACCATAGTAACTGTTTTGGATAACAGTAAGTGCTTATTCTGACCTTTCTTTACAGGCCTATAAGGAAACACATGAAGAGGTCTGGTTAGAATATGCAGTGAGCTGCTTCCTCCATGGCATCAAATTCGGTATTCCGAATTCGAGAAGCCACCTAGCTCGTGTTCTATATCTTCTTAGCTTTGATACTTCCAGTGAATCTGTGGGAAGGGCATTTGATAAGTACTTGGACCAAATACCTCATTGGGTTTGGCTTTCTTGGATTCCTCAGTTATTGTTATCTTTACAAAGGACTGAAGCTTCTCACTGCAAACTTGTTTTACTTAAAGTTGCAACTGTATATCCTCAGGTAATTATCCCTAAAAATAGTGTTTTTTCTCACGTTGATATTCTTAGTGTTAATACCACCTCCTTTCAAAATTTAGGCATTGTATTACTGGCTTCGCACATATTTGCTCGAGCGCCGTGATGTTGCTAATAAGTCTGAGTACGGTAGAATTGCAATGGCTCAACAAAGAATGCAGCAAAACACTTCTGGTGTTGGTGCATCTGGATCTATTAGCTTGGCTGAGGGAAGTACAAGAGTTTCTGTTCACGGCGGGGGCGCTTTGGTCTCAGAGAATCAACTTCATCAAGGAACTCAATCTGCTGGAGGTCTTGGGTCACATGATGGAAGTAGCTCTCAAGTGCAAGAAACTGAAAGGTCAGGTGCTGCTGAAAGTAACATGCCTTCTGGGAACGACCAATCAATGCAGTTAAATTCATCCAACAATGAAGCTGCACTGAGGCGAAACAGTGCAATGGGATTGGTTGCCTCTGCTGCCAGTGCTTTTGATGCTGCAAAAGACATAATGGAGACTCTTAGAAGCAAGCACACCAATCTTGCTAGTGAACTTGAGGTAGTTTATTCCATCTTCTTGAGTTTGGTAATGTACTTGGTGATTTGTGGTATATATGTTATCATTTTCTTTTCTTCTCTTTGTTAAATAAGCAATAAGCATGACGTTTCTATTTGCTTGCAAATTCATAAAAACAGCGCCAAGAGCCCAAGAGCAAATTTCCAGTTGATGTATTAATAATTTTAAGATCTTAGATTAAAACCTGTGGTTGATCTAAACAAATTTTCTTCTCAGTGAGAGTCAATGTTTATAATATTGTGGTTACATTCTATTTGCAGATCCTACTTACTGAAATTGGCTCGAGGTTCGTCACATTGCCTGAGGAGAGACTGCTGGCTGTAGTGAATGCTTTGCTTCATCGTTGTTACAAGTACCCAACTGCAACTACAGCAGAAGTTCCACAATCTCTCAAGAAAGAGCTTTCTGGTGTTTGCAGAGCTTGCTTTTCAGCAGATGCTGTGAACAAGCATGTTGATTTTGTGAGAGAATACAAGCAGGATTTTGAGCGTGACCTTGATCCAGAAAGTACTGCAACATTTCCAGCCACCCTTGCCGATCTAACTGAAAGATTGAAGCACTGGAAGAACATTCTCCAGAGTAATGTTGAAGATCGGTTCCCAGCTGTTTTGAAGTTGGAGGATGAAAGTAGGGTGTTGCGAGACTTCTATGTTGTTGATGTGGAGGTTCCAGGGCAATATTTTGCTGATCAGGTAGGTAGTTTAATATTATAAAATTAGGCTTTCCATCTTAACTTATGAAATGCGTCTTCTAGAAAATAAATATGATTGCACTTGTGTTTTACTGGTTCCATTTTTAGTTTTTTGGGGGGCAGTTGGTATATCGATTGGTTATTGAAATGACATTCACAAATCTATCACCAAACTTGTGCTTGGTAGACTTGGTTGTTGGGACTGTTGATACTCACGAGTCCCCGTTCCTAAAGCTATGGGATTAATTAATGATTCCATTCAAACTGAAATGTGTCATCCTTGTTTGGTATCAGGAAGTTGCACCGGATCATACAGTGAAGTTGGACAGGGTTGGAGCTGACATTCCTATCGTAAGAAGGCATGGTAGCAGTTTCCGGCGTTTGACTCTGATTGGCTCTGATGGCTCTCAGCGCCATTTTATAGTTCAGACATCCTTAACTCCAAATGCTAGAAGTGATGAAAGAATTTTGCAACTCTTCCGTGTCATGAACAGAATGTTTGATAAGCACAAGGAATCCAGGCGTCGACACATCTGTATTCACACCCCAATTATTATTCCTGTGTGGTCCCAGGTAATAAATTTGATGCAAACACAATATATGTTGTTTTGATTTTTATTCTTGGAGTCACCTCATTTACCAATTTTAAGTTGTAAAAATATTTTTTTCGAATGTGTTAATATGACGTTACGTTGTTAGAAAGCTTTTTTTTGCTGACTGTTAGTTTGCCCTGTTTCATGTAATTCTTAATTAGGTCCGTATGGTTGAAGATGATTTGATGTATAGCACCTTCCTTGAGGTATATGAGAACCATTGTGCGAGAAATGACCGAGAGGCAGATTTGCCAATTACTTATTTCAAAGAGCAACTGAACCAAGCCATATGTGGGCAGATATCACCAGAAGCTGTGGTAGATCTTCGCCTGCAAGCTTATAATGATATAACAAAAAATATTGTGACAGAGACCATATTCTCGCAATTCATGTATAAAACTTTGTTAAATGGGAATCATACGTGGGCATTCAAGAAACAATTTGCAGTACAGTTAGCTCTCTCAAGCTTTATGTCGTTCATGCTGCAAATAGGAGGAAGGTCCCCAAACAAGATTTTGTTTGCCAAAAATACAGGAAAAATATTTCAGACAGATTTCCATCCATCATACGATGCTAATGGAATGATAGAGTTTAATGAACCAGTGCCATTCAGATTGACAAGGAATCTGCAGGCGTTTTTCTCTCATTTTGGTGTTGAAGGCCTTATAGTCTCTGCAATGTGTGCAGCTTCACAGGCCGTGGTTTCACCCAAAGTAAGTTGAAACATTTATTATTATTATCTTCATTAGCTTATTAATTAATTAATTAATAATAAAAAAGTTGGATGGGATGGATGTGTAGTAATAATGTTTGAAAATATGAAATGGTGTGCTGCAGCAAAGTCAGCATTTATGGCATCACCTGGCTATGTTTTTCCGTGATGAGTTGATATCTTGGTCTTGGAGAAGACCTCTTGGGATGCCTCTTGCTCCTGTTGGAGGAGGTAGTTTGAATAATGTTGACCTCAAGCAGAAAGTCACTACAAATGTCGAGCATGTCATTACTCGTATCAATGGCATAGCACCACAATACATCTCTGAAGAGGTATGTACATACATATATATATATATATATATATATATATATATATATATATATATATATATATATATATATATGGGTTTTGAAATTCGTTCCTTCCCCATTAATAATGCTTGAGTGTTGTTGGGTGGTGTTGTTGAACAGGAGGAAAATGGTGTGGATCCACCACAATCAGTGCAGAGGGGTGTTGCAGAGTTGGTTGACGCTGCCCTCACTCCCAGAAATTTATGCATGATGGATCCCACGTGGCATCCTTGGTTTTAATTATTATTATTATTCTTCTTCTGTATAGTCAGTCCATTTAGTTTGTGGGGTTATCTTTTTCGTAGATAGTAGTGAATTGTGGATCTAACTTCTGACTTGAGGAACTTGAATGCTCTCTCTTTCTCTCTCTAGGAATATGAATGCTAATCTTTGTAAATACATTTAAGTTATAATATATCAATTTTTTCTTGCCTTTTCTTTTGACTACTGCATATAAGTTATGATCATCTAATATTTGAGGCTCTGCCAAAAACCTTTCAATGTTCTTCTCTATTAGTGTGAATTTCCGTTTGATGAATTGAAATATATATATATTTTAACTTTAATTTCATTATTTTCGGAATTGGATTGTTCATTAGCACACATCCAACTATCCGCAAAACTCTCTATTGACAAACATGACGCATTTACACCAACAAAATTTACCACCAATTTTCTCACAAATTACAAAGGGTAAGATCAAATCTAATTTTTCACCCAAATAAATTACTAAAAGATTATATACCCTTGCTAAAATAAAAAAACACACAATCACAAAACACCACAAATTCTTTTGTGTAAGAAGACAACACCAACAAAACTCACTCTCTTCTTTACAAACTCATTTCACACTCTTCTCCAAAAAAATCTCTTGCATCTTCTCCAAAAGCCATTTAACACCCGAAACCCTCAAATTTTACCAAAACTTGCAAAAGAGGACATTATGGATTCACAAGACATCAATATGGAGGATTCTAGAGAAAAAGAAGAAAACAAACTATGGGTGAATGTATTTTTATAGTAGGTAACCCAATGTTTAAGTTTAAAAAAAAAAAATCCCGTAGTCAAAATTCGACACATACATGTCGACATCTAGATGTCGATTTTTGTAAACACAATCAACATCTAGATGTCGAGTTTTCGCCAAAAAATCAACATCTAAATTTTTTTTGCCAAAATATCAACATCTCGAAGTGATTTTTCAACAAAAAAACAACATATAAAGGTCGAATTTTCTTCTTTTTCTTCTTCCCCATCTTCCTCTCTTCATCTTCTTCTTCTTCCAGCTGTCCTTCTCCTCCTCCTTCTTCCTCCTTCTTCTCTTCCTCTTCAAGCACCGCTGGTCGCACGAAGGTTGGGCGACAAATGTATGGCGACGACGGTAAGCGGTTGTGATGTGCAATGAGTTTCATCGGCGACGGTGCGCAGTGGTCCTTTGTGGCGGATCGGCAGCGGCTCTTCGTTCATCTTCTCTCTACTCGGTTTTTTTTTTTTGTGTGATTTTATTGTATTACAATAAGGGAAGTATGAAAAATATACTAAAATAAGAATATATTGTGATAAGGGCTATATTAATAATTTCAAGACTTCCTCTTAGTAAGTTTGTTTATTTTTGGTGAAATCTTTCGCCTAGTAAGGTCTTCCCTTTAGAAATTTTGGGATTACAAATAAAGGCCGCCTTTTAGTTTCTCATTAACAACGATACAATATGCTCTAAAGTCATTTTAGACTTTGGTAAGATTAAAAATTAAGGTGACATATATAACTATACGGTCAAAAGTTATTTTAGACTTAGTTAAAATTAATTTCTTTGTAGATCGCCCTATTTGTATTGCTCTTCGGTTTAATAATTGTGGAAATAACGTATAAAAACAATAATAACAAGAAGAGATGGAGAGATAATGCAAATAGATAATAATGCGAAGAGAGATAATTAAGGGTGTCTCTTTGGAGGAGAGAGCGATTCCATTATATAGGTGTACAAACTAACGAGATTTACAAGAAGTTATAAAATGAGTTACATAGAAGTTACTCAATCACTAACTCTATGGACTAGACATGGGATAAGTTAATTAATTAGTGGGGAGTTGGGTGGTTCTGTAGGAAACTCCACTACTTACAACACCCTCCTTGGGATTTCTATCAAAACTACTATAGTGCATTTTGTGTTGCCTCATTAAAACCTTCCGAGTAATAAAATTCAGTGGGACAAAACAACCTCGGCTGGGAAAAAATGTACAACTCACAAACTTACAAATCAGCATATGTTGCCTCGTTAAAACTTTGGCGGGTAACCAAAAACCCAGTAGGAAAATAAATTTCGCACAAAGGAAAAGTAGTACAACAAGACACCTAAGTATTTTCTGGATACTGAGTACCTACAGAGTACTCCACCTTAAGTTAACTCCATTTAATGTCTATAAGGGAGCATATAATCTACGCAAGCCAATAGCCTTAACATGTTTTTCATAAGTGACTTTAGGTAATGATTTAGTAAATAAATCAGCGCAGTTAATGTTGGATCATTATTTGTTTGAGCTCTTGTTGTTGCTAATTGAAGAAAAACATCGGAGCTATATACTTGGTGCATTATCCCTGAATATGATTGTAAGATCTTATGTGGTAGTCAATCCACATGAATCTCGAATGTGGTCAATCATAACTCTAAGCCGAGTGCTGATATTTCTGCATGAATCTCGAATGTGGTCAATCATAACTCTAAGCCGAGTGCTGATATTTCTGCATGATTCAATGAGGTGGCAACTAAGGTCTGCTTAGTAGACCTCCAAGACACAAGTGTGTTTGCAATAATAAATACATATCTAGTTTGGGAACGAGCTTTGTGCGGGTTTGACAAATACCCAAGGTCAACATAACCCACAAGCTTTGCATCCTTTAATAATGCGTAGGGATAGAACAAACCCATGTCCATTGAACTCAAGAAGAAAAACGTCCTTTACAGCATTCCAATGGCGGCATGTTGGTGCTAAGCTAAACCTCACTAGCAAATGTATGGCAAATTCAATATCATGTCGAGTACATTGAGCTAAGTAAAATAACACGAAATGCACATTGTATTTCGTGTAAAAGTACACGTAATCCTTTTTTTTGTTATTTAATAAGATTTCTGTTTGTGCAGGAACAAGAACAAGAATCTCACGATCATAGTCACTTCTTTCAACGTGATGTCACATTTGATAGTAGAAAGGTATTAACTATGTGGGTAAAAGACAATGCAATAAGTTATCATCATCAATTGATTATTTATTCTAAAAGATAGAATTGTCAGTACTTGACGTGTGTAATGTATCAATTTGGACGACGACATGGATTTGTGAAGAAACATCCTTGTCCTTTCAGATTAATTGGCAATAACTCAAAGGAAGATGGATTATGGCGACTGAGAGTTAGTGATGATAATCATAACCATCGGCCGATTATTCATAATCTATAGATTATGAAATGTTGTATTTTGTATTTTAATATAATTTTATTTTATGTTAATTTCATTGGCAATCGTAATTAATTGTAATTATTTTTAATATTTATCTCTATGTCATGTTTAACTTACGTTTTGGATTTTTGAGAATATATTCAGTTGTACATAGTTGTAAATCGCTATTAGAAAAACTAATAATATATTAAAAAAACGAAATCCAGTTACAATATAATAATACATAAAAAAAATCGTCTAATAATACATAAAAAAAAAATCTCCAAACTACCGCCTCGCGCTCCTCGCTGCGGGACATCACCACCATCACCATCATTGTCGTTATCGTCATCACGATCAATGCCAATATATCGAGCCGCGGGGACATTATCACTGCTAGGTCGATGTGCATAGCTGCATACCTTTGCATTCAGTCAGGCTCAATTCTCTGACGCGCTACAACCGGGCCTACATTCGGTTTGTTAATCTGCAAATGTGTCCGTATGATATGATCCAACCATGCATCAAAGTTACTACCGAGCTAACCAGATGAAGATGGTGATGCAATACACGAAGATTATCTTGCTCTTATTCAGTGCCATGAAGGTGTATCTTCAAATTTGATTATTGATGGAGGTTGTTGTACTAATGTGACTAGCTATACTTCGATGGGAAAGTGAGTGTATCAAGTTTGGAGCATTATAGACCATATGAGCTACAATTGTTTGAAGATGATCGTGAAATATGGTTTCTATATGCTCATATAGATATTTGTCCGGATTCGAGGACGAATCCTTTTACAGAGGGGTAGTATGATACGATTATCAACCTCAAAGATGAGGAATCGGAAGAAAAGAAAGCGAGTGAGATTAATGGAGCCGTTCGTGTTGGAATTGACAATAGTCAGTACAAGTGAGTTGTTTCAAGAGTTCTTGGTGATGGATTGGAAGAAAAGAAAGAGGGAATTCATTGGACTAGCCGAATTCCATGCACTCGAAATTCTCGCATATCTCTGGTAGTTTTTCATTCTGGTCATAAAACTTTCACCAAATGTTCGATTACTTTGAGTCAAAATTCTATGGAAAGTTAACTTAAACATAAACAACTTTGCAATTTGGATCCGAGAAAGATTCAGAGTGGAAAAGGTCCGAAATCGAGTATCAAGCCAACACACGTGCACAACCAAGTGTCTACTCGAGTTATGAAGAGTGTTCGTGTCGTCGACTTGATGTTTGGAGTTTATATTTTATAAAATCACATTTTTATTTAGTATTTATTATATTTTATTGTTTTAGAGTTCTTTATCTTTATGATTTGCTTATTTAATAGTTTACTTTATGTAAGAGTCATTTTCCTTGTGAAAAAGAAGTCTTTTCAGATATTATAAATAGGTTGTCAATTTGCCTTATTTGAGTAGACGAATTTTAATGAATTAATTGAGGTTTTGAGTGACGAATTCTGCTTCGCTGTTCTACAACAATCTTCGGGATCTTACAAGTGGATTCTTGTAGTTTTCTTAGCGATATAATATTGGGTTTTGGGTTTTGGTTCTGTATAATCATGGGGTGAAAAAAAATATTCCACCTTGATAATAATGTTTTCTAGCTCTTTTTAGCTATGAGGTCATTATTCCTTGCTTCCGCTAATCTGAATCCTTTGTTTTCAACGTTCCGTATTTTTGCATCCGCGTAAGGTAATTGGGTCTCGTCAAGTTCTACGGAGTTCATATCACCTTAGGCAGTACCAAATCATGTAATGCTTGTCGACATCACTCTGACGCCGTGCCGGCTGATAATGTTGAGTTTGAAGAGAATGAGTCTCAAACATTTCCCACATTCCACCCAACGTCGGGTATGTGAATTTGTACGATGTTCTAACTTTTGGAGTGCGTGAACATAGATCCATTGACGAGATCAATTCACGTGGAATATCTTGAATCCACCCGAACTGTCGCACAACACGATCAGACATATACTGCTCTATGACCCACATGTACTAGATTG